TGAACAATTTGAGAAAGAAATTCCAAAATACTTCACTGAATTTACCTTGTTTATGGATTGCCTGATTAATTCAGGGAAAGATGTGGAGTTACTTTTGTAGTTGCTGAATATCCTTGAGTTCCTGCTTCAAGTCGATCCTTCTCCAAATGGTTCTGCAAAATCCCGAGGTTGGTCCTCGGGGAGAAACTCCGATGCTTAAGTCAGTATTTTTCTAATCATGTTTTCCTTTTTGTTCCGCCTATTTATCAAACCTTACCTTGTGGGCTTTGTCCATCTTGGCAAGGTACCCACGTGGCTTGTCCGCACCCACGTGGCTCGGTCAATCCAATAATGGAGACATAGTGCGCTTGATGGAGTAGACGTTTTAGGTGAATGTAACGTGCCTTAATGGAGTAATCGCATTAAATGCGCGTGGTGTATTCTGACGGAGCAGGTCCCTTGAGAAAGGGTGTTCTAGTAGGGACAAATGATCAGATGAGGACATGCCTATTGTGGCTGCCATACACTTTCGGCGAGATGCCGAGGTGCGGTAAGCTCTGAGTCCCGCAGCCGAGGTGCGGTGACCTCGAATCTCTGATCTTTGCCTTGCGTGTTTTCTGGTATAGTTGCCCTTACACTATTCCCCCCCCAAAGTCATTCACTTGTGAATGATAAGGGAAAGATGGGAAGTGTATGGATGATAAAGAGTGTGAGGTTGAGTAAGTAGGGTAGCGTTGGTGGTACGGAGGCCGTAGCCGTGGTGAAATTGGTGACACGTAGTCACTGTGGCCGTAGCCGAGATGAAGTTTGTGACACGAAATCACTATGGCCGTAGCCGAGATGAAGTTTGTGACATGAAGTCACTGTGGTCGTAGCCGAGATAAAATGGGTGACACGTAGTCACTGTGGCCGTAGCCGAGATGAAATGGGTGACACGTAGTCACTGTGGTCGTAGCCGAGATGAAATTGGTGACACGTAGTCACTGTGGCCGTAGCCGAGATGAAATTGTGACTTAGTTTTCGTGTAAGTATATGTTAAGGGGTTTACCATGGGCTTGAAATGGGCCTATTTATGGACTACTAAAGCTGGTTAATGCAGCAGACGACAGCTGTCATGGAAGAACGTGCGGTAATAAATATCGTCTGTGAAAAGTAACCGTCACATTCGAAGGGACGCGGCGTTAATTCAAACGGTGAATTTGAAAGGGCACAGTTGTGACGGTTTAAGGGAGTTAATCGTGACCGTCAAGATATGTTCTACCGTCATATATATATTCAGAGTTAGAAAAATCTAACCCAACTTGCTGTTAGCTTCTGGAAAAGTCACCGGTGTACCTGCACTCAACGTTGTTCGTCCGTTTTCGCAGAGACCAGGAAATTTGCGAGCATCCAAGTGTCTTTTTGTACCTTTCTTTGTCGTGAGAATGTTTTCTGAAGAGACGCTTACTGACGGCCGAGTGAGGGGGAGGGTTGAGGAAGTAGAGAATAGGGATTTGAGGGTGCCGTCGAACATTTTGGAGAGAGAGGATGGAAGAGAGCCGTGTTTCAACCCTGAGGAAGAAGTTGTTAGTGAGGTGGCAGGGTATGAAACAACTTTGGAAAATAGGGGTAGTTTGGCCCACTTGGTTGAGAACTATGGGGTGCCTGGGCGTGTGTTGGTGAGGCCAGCGAGGAGTAGAGAGAGGGCGTGCTTGGCCCCGGGGGACCACTGGATGCCTCTCTACTCCCATTACCTGGCGGCTGGGTTGCGGTTCCCTCTCCCAGACCTGTTGGTGTGGTTGTTGTTAGAGTATGGTCTGGCGTTAACGCAACTCACCCCCAATGCCGTGAGGTTAGTGGTGGCGTTTGCAGTGTATAGCCGAAGTCGGGGGGTAAGTTTTCCCACTGCTAACATATTCAAGTACTTTTACGTCTTGAATGCTGGGCGTGGTAGGGAGAAGGGATGGTACTATTTTACGGGCCGGGTAGCGAATAAGCAAAGGAGGGGTTTGTTTAGCGCCAGGCCGTCTTCCATTAAGGGGTGGAAAGATAAGTTTTTTTTTTTGCGGATGACACGGAGTGGGATAAGACTGATGCTGAGGTGGAGCACTTGAGTCATTGGAAGGCAAAAGGGTTAAACCTCAACGAGTATAGTCTGACCCCAGGGGAGTTAGAGGATGTGGGGGAGTTGGAAAGAGGGGGTGTGGGTTTGCTAGACGTCATGGAGTATACGAGCCAGAGGATGTTGGACGCGACTGAGATATATGGGCCGAGTTCTCAAAGAGGAGGTGTGTGACTTTGATTGTTGAGTTAATTCAAGAATTCTGATCAGAGTTTAATCTTGTTTTGTTTTGCAAAAGAGATGAACAAGTTTTTGGACGCAGTTGGTGGAGCTGGAATTCCAAAGAAGGGGAGAGGGAAGAGAGGCGAGGTAAGGAGTCGGGTGGAGGAGGTTTCATTGCCTCAAGCCGAAGTGGAAAACTTGGCCATCACTCAGCCTGGCCACGTTGGAGGGGAAGTGACGGTTGCTGAGGAGGGGCCCATTGTGGCGAAGAGGAGGAGGCTAGGGCGATAAGAGGCTGTGGAGGAGGTAGAGGCCGTGACTTCAACCCTCTGCCTGGAAGGGATCTCGTTAGCCTCGACTACTGAGTTTGCTACTGCGCTCTGGGAGCGAGGGTACATCTGAGCGCAGACGACTAGCTTTTATGACTCCGAGATGAGCAGTACAGCAAAGAGGTTCATCAACACTTATTTCCCGGAGGTGGACCGTCAGCGTGCGAAGGACGAGGTTGCTGCCAGGGGTTCAGTTGGCGTTGTCCGTCAAACTCTGGAGGTATGGTACTTTCATCCCGCTTGGAGTTTAAGGATTCTGATCTCGCTAGGTGTTTGACGAGCTGGGGTGGTTCTATTATGCAGACTGTTAATCTCGTGAATGCTTTGGCCAATGAGCATCACGAGAGTCTGAAGGAGAGGAACCAGATGAGGAAGGATAACGCCGAGCTCATTAAGAAGAACGAGGCGGCCGAGGCCGAGGTGGCGAGGCTGAAAGCTGAGATGGAGGAACTCCGCAAAGAAAACGCCACTTTGAAAAAGGACTCGGAGATCTCGTACCAGAAAAAGAAGATATGCGAGGCTGAGCTCGAGAAGAGGGAGAAGGAGTTGGAGGACGCGGGGAGGAGAGTGGCTGAGTTGGAGCTTAAGGTTCACAACTCAGTCGAAGAACATGTGGAGGGGTTCCTGAGGTCCAACACCTTTGATGACATCGTCAACCTCTACCGTCTCCCTACTGCAATTGTGGCCTTCTCGGACTGCCGGAAGAAGGTGAAGTTGCAGTATCCTGATGTGGATGTGACGAAGGTCACTTTCGGGGATCAGGAGGGGGAGGTAGAGGAGGATGGAGAGAGCAGTACTGCTGACTTCCGCCCGGAGATAACACTGAAGTGGGAGAAGGACAGCAGGGGTCAAACCATTTTGCCTCCCAAGTTCAGCTTTGAGTTCGTGGCAGTGGAGGAAGAGGGGACCGAAGGTGGCGAGGTTACCGAAGGTGCTGACCAGCCAAGTCAGCTTGCCGATAACCCTGAGCAGCTTGCGGCCAGCCCGAGCTAAACCGTTGACTAGATTTGGCCTCGGTTTTTTTTTTTTTTTTTTAGATATTCTTTGTAATCGATTGGAAATTAATGGAATGAATTTTATTTTTTTTTATTGTGTTTGTGATCCAAAATAGGAGAAGTTAAAATGACATTGTTAATACAAGTAAGTTTGAAGAAGTGGAATTGACTTCGTCCTTGACGTCGTCTTCAATTGTACTGGAATGTTATTTACAAAAAGATGCCTAACACAGAATAAAGAAAGGAACTTTCAAGGATGGAATTTTTTAAGATTGTTGACGTTCCAAACTCTAGGCACTCTTTTGCCCTCGGCATCTTGGAGAATGTATGCTCTGGGGTGCGGGACCTCGGTTACAATGTAAGGGCCTTTCCAGTTTGGTGCTAGCTTGCCATATCGGGTCTCGAACCCTGTGAGCCCAGATTTTCTGAGGACGAGGTCACCGACTCTGAAGTTTCGAGGTCGGACTCGTTTATTGTAAAGGTTGGCTATTCTTTGTTTGTATGCTAGAGTCCGAAGTCGGGATTGCTCTCGGACTTCGTCTAGGAAATCAAGGTTTTCCCTTAGTAGACGCTCATTTTGAGTTGGTTCAAAGTGGCTGATTCTTAGGCTTGGGACACCAATTTTGACAGGAATGACTGCCTCGGTGCCGAAGGCTAAGTGGTAGGGCGTTTCGCCTATTTGCAGGAGACTAACTTTAGGATTTACTTTAAAGGGTAGTCTGCAACTGTAAACAAGGTAATAGAAAAGAGAATCAAGGTGAGGGACATACCTGTGGCAGTTCGACTTGTTGTCTGGTAAGCCCACAGGACGTTGTTGAGTTCATCTACCCACTTTGTTTTTAGCTGATCTAACCTCGACTTGATTCCTTCCAAGATGGCTTTGTTGACTGATTCAACCATTTCATTGGCCTCGGGATGGTAGACGGAAGTGAACACCAACTTAATCCCGTAGCTGGAGCAGAAGTCCCTGAAGGAGTTACAATTAAACTAGGGGCCGTTGTCAGCGATGATCTAGTTTGGTATTCCATATCTGCAGATGACTGAGCTGAAGAGGAAATCCTCAATTCTTCTCAAAGTCAGACAAGATAGAGGTTTGGCTTCTATCCACTTGGTGAAGTAATCAACAGCGACCACTAAATGCGTCGCTTCTCCTACTACTTTGACAAAGGGGCCCAGAAGGTCTACTCCCCATTAAGCAAAAGGCCGTGGTGCAGTCATGCTAGTGAGTTCTTCAGCTGGCTGATGGGTGAGATGGGCGAAGAATTGGCATTTCTGGCACCTCTGCACGAATCTCTTTGCATCTTCTTGCATGTTAGGCCAATAGTACCCTTGCCGAAGTACCTTATGTGCTAGAGTCTGAGCTCCCACGTGACTACCGCATACCCCCTCGTGTACTTCTCTTAGTGCATACTATGCTTCATATGGTGTCAAGCATCTGAGGAGAGGTAACGAGTAGGACCTCTTGTACAAAATGTCGCCAGCCAGGGTGTACCGAGAGGCTTTTCTTCGCAACTTCATCTCTTCCTGTTTGTCCCCTGGGACGGTACCATTGAGGAGGTACTCCCGAATGGGGTCTGTCCAACTCGGAGCATCTGGGTCAGTGCTGATCTCCATCACCCTCGACGTTTGAAAGCTCGGTTCATTCAGTATCTCGATGTACACAGACTTTGCTTCCCCGGAGTTCTCAAATGCTAACTTCGACAAAGAATCTGCATGCTCATTTTCTGCTCTCGGAATCTTTGTAAGCTGGAATTTCTCGAAATAGTTTTTCAGCTCAGAGACTGCAGCCACATACCTCGCCAGGATGGGATCAATGACTTCGCACATAGAATTGATTTGGTTAACTACCAGCTGTGAGTCACTGTAAATCTGCAGGCGTTTGACTTTGAGCTCGGCCGCCAAACGCAGTCCTAGGAGGAGGGCTTTGTACTCGGCCACGTTGTTTGTGGCCTCGAAGTTGAACTTCAAAGTGTGTTCACTCCGGAAGCTGTCAGGTCCAATTAATACTGCTCCAGCTCCTGAACCCTTACTATTAGATGATCCATCGACATACAAGGTCCATGTTTCTGCCTCAAAATTCGGTTCCCCCTGATTAGAAGTGCATTCAACCACGAAATCTGCCAAAGCTTGAGCTCGGATTGTCGACCTTTGGTGGAATGCTATCTGAAACTCTCCCAGCTCCACTGCCCATTTGATGAGTCTCTTGGAGCATTCTGGCATCTGCAGAATTTGTCTTAAAGGCTGATCAATCATCACAATAATAGGATGGGATTGGAAATATGGCCTCAATTTCCTTGTAGTAACAACAACTGTTAGGGCTGCCTTCTCTGCTATTGAGTATCTCTGCTCAGCTCCCTGCAGCACCTTACTGGCATAGTATACTGGCTGCTGTTGTTTTCCCATTTCCCTGACCAAGACAGAATTGATAGCAGTATCAAATATTCCGAGGTAAAGATAAAGGATTACCTTCTTGAGCCCTAGTCAGCAGAGGCGGCGAGCTGAGGTAGGCTTTGAGCTCGTCAAAAGCCGCCTGACACTCTGTCGTCCAGTTGAACTTCTGGGGTTTTCCCGTTTCATCCTTTTGAGCTGCAGTTCTCAAAACCTTAAAGAAAGGCAAACAGTTATTTGCTGATTTGGAGAGAAATCTGTGCAGTGCTGCTATTCTCCCTGCTAGGTGTTGCACGTCCTTGGTTGACCTCGGCGGTTTCATTTCTTCTATTGCTTTTATCTTCTCAGGGTTGACCTCTATCCCTCTTCTGGAAACCATGAAACCCAGAAACTTGCCTGATTCAACACCGAAAGTGCACTTTGCTGGATTCAACGCCGAAAGTGCACTTTGCTGGATTCAACGCCGAAAGTGCACTTTGCTGGATTCAACGCCGAAAGTGCACTTTGCTGGATTCAACGCCGAAAGTCACTTTGCTGGATTCAACGTCGAAAGTGCACTTTGCTGGATTCAACGTCGAAAGTGCACTTTGCTGGATTCAACGTCGAAAGTGCACTTTGCTGGATTCAACGTCGAAAGTGCACTTTGCTGAATTCAACTTCATGCTGCACCTTCTAAGGTTGTTGAACGTCTCGGCCAGGTCAGTCAAGTGGTCTTCTGCTCGAGAGCTTTTGACAACAATGTCATCTACATAGACCTCCAGGTTTCTGCCAATTTGAGCCCGAAACACGATTGTGACCATTTTCTAGTATGTTGCTCCTGTATTTTTGAGGCCGAATGGCATCATCACATAGCAGTATATTTCATCTCCGGCATAAAATGAGGTTTTCACCTCGTCCTCGGGTGCCATGCGGACTTGATGATACCCCGAGTAAGCATCCAAGAGGCTTAGCCTCTCATTCCCTGAGGCGGCCTCTACCAGCTTGTCTATGCTAGGCATGGGATGGCAGTCTTTGGGGCAGGCGTCGTTGAGGTTGGTATAATCGATGCACATGCGCCACTTGCCGTTTGACTTTTTTACCATGACCGGGTTGGCAATCCATTCGCAGTAATCAACTCTCATGATGAACCCCGCTTGCAAGAGCTTCTTCACTTCTTCCTTAATGGCTGTGAGTCTTTCCCCCCCGAAAAGCCGTCTCTTCTGTGCCACTGGCTTCCTCAAAGGATTAGTGCTGAGTTTGTGTACTGCCACCGAAGTTGGGATTCCAGGCATGTCAGCCGAGGTCCATGTAAACACATCCTTGTTTGCTTTAAGGAAGCCCACGAGCTCTTCTTTTTCTATGGGAGTCAGCTTCGTGCTGATCTGAGTCCTCTTGGATGGGTCATTATCATCGAGTTGTACCTCTTCGACCTCCTCGACTGGGGTGGCTCTTGGTTCATCCTCTGGTCTGTTATCTGGCAGTTCTACACCCATTACCTGTTGGGTATTCAAGGCCTCGGGGTGGGGTGACTCTGGTGATGGGACTACCTCCTTGTTTCTTCGTGACCTCGCGACGGAGGTCATATAACAATGCCTGGCCGCCTCTTGGTTGCCTCGCAAGGTTGCTATCCCCA